CCCCCCCCCCCCCCCCCCCCCAATTGTTTGCACCTTGAGCGAGACACCTCCAGCAGATATTGACCAGCAGACCGTAAGGCTGTGCTGGGCTGGTGGACTTTCAAAAGTTATGAAATATAAGACGGTGCAAGGCCATTCAAAGCTTTAAAAACAAACAGCATCCGCTTTAAGGAAAAATAATACTGATCCAATTTTAAAATAATGAAACGTACAGCTGCAGCCACATCAACTTTAGCCACTCAAAATGGCTGAATTTCAGTAATTAAAAAATATATAGATCCAAAAGAGGTGTGGTAGCCATGACTCATGCCCGTCACTTATCCTGAACGCTAACAGATCGTGCGAGATGTTTAAAACTTTGGCATGCAGACTACTCGAGTAATCGACACATCGATTCCTAGGACGTCTCTCGAGTTTTTAAATTTCACGTCGCGTATTCGTAGTGACGTCATTATGCCGCCGTTACGTCATTACAAAATGGATTCCTCCAAGCAGACGGATGGAGTGGAGCAGGCCCAGTCTTGGCAAACAGGTAGAACTGCATCAATAGTCTGGAAATATTTCACTAAAGATGAATCTTCTGGTTCAACTACCGTAAGGAAACAGAAAATGAATCAACTTCCTGACTGTTTGGAGCTCGTTGCGAACTGATGTTACATCATATTCTGTGACCACCATATATTGTGACCATAGGGGCGGTGTTACATGCACTGTCGCAGGTCACAGAATATGGTGTAACACCGGGTCCAATCGACCGAACCAGAACCAGCTTCCTCTGACCTTGTTTCACAAACTAAAAGCAAAAAATACAAATCTCTAAACCTATAAAAACCTATAAACATATTAACCTCTAAAACTAAACCTAATGCGCAGCACTGCTGGTGGTGGAGCGGGGTGGTCGACCCCCCCACTGTTTTTAAGTTTCGTTTTTTACGTGTCGCACGTTTCTTCATGTTTGCAGCTTAATAATAATAACTAATAGTTTTGGTTTTCCTGTGACTTATTTGCAGTATGATAAATGGTAGGAGCATAATATACTTTGTACTCTCCCAATGTTTTGTTGGTCTTTTTTTTGTAAATAATGAAGTTTTTTGCAGTTTTATTTATTTTTGCATCTTGAGATCCTATGACGTCATCAACTACTCGAGTTTTATTATGTTAACATCGAGTTTAAAAATTATGTAATCGTTCAACCCCTAGAATGCAAAACATGTTCCTTCAAGAAATGTTGTTTTTCTTCATTTCATGTTATTTTGTTACTGGGAGCCGTCTCAGAGTGCACAGAGACACACGCAGCATCAAAGCAGCAGCTAGCAGAGCCCTGCATTACTCTACTATAGTAACTGAAAGCATTTGGAATAGGGATTGAACGAGTACACATTTTTTAAAGTCAACATTAACATGATAATAGTAGAGTCGACGTCGACTAGTTGATGATGTCATAGCTCAAGACGCTAAAGAAAAAAACTCGCAAAAAGCCGTCATTTTTTTTATTTACAAAAAAAATAAAAAATAACAACAAAACATTGGGAGTGAATATTTATGCTCCTACCATTTATCATATTGCAAATAAGTCTCAGGAAAACCCAAACTATTATTAAGCTGCAAAAGTTAGTTTGATTTTATTTAATCCACTAAATAAATAAACTAATTTACTAATTCTCCACCGGCGGTGCTGCGTGGTGGTGATTCTCTGGTGGAGCGCACCTGTTTTTTAATTTTAATTTAATTTTATTTAGTGGATTAAATAAAATAAAAATAAAAACTATCCACCACAGATTCTCCACCACAGATTCTCCACCGGCGGTGCTGCGCGGTGCTGCGCGGTGCTGGATTCTCCGGTGGAGCACACCCTGTTTTTTTTTATTTAATTTATTTTAGTGGATTGAATAAAAATGAAAGTAAAAACAACGTCATCTTTAGTGAAATACTTCCACACTGTTGATGAATTTCTACCTGTTTGGGAAGACTTTACCTGCTCCTCACCTTCCATCTGCTTGGAAGATCTGTTTTGCAACCGGCGCTGATCACGTGACACAATCACCGACTGAGACTAGTCGAGTGAAATTAAAAAACTCGCGTGACATCCTAGAATCAACTGGCCAACTAGTCGACTAGTCTTTTCAACCCTTAATTAGGACCTCCAGCGTGCTGCCCATTAACTGCCTTGTTTCCTCACACATCATTTGTCCTCCACTCACATCCAGCTCAGGTTCTTCTCTTCAGTGTTAACTCATTTCCAGACCTGCATCAGAAAAATAAAGCTGTGTGTTTGTGCTCACCCCAGAGTGCGGCACACAGGATCTCCGAGTTGAACCTCTTCTTGTACTTGCGGATCTCTGGTGTGTCGCTCTGAGGCCGAGTGTTGACGGGGTTAACGTTGACCACTGAGCCTTTTCGGGACGGGTCTGCTCTCAGAGCCTCCGCCAGCCGGGCGTCGTTGGCGTAGCCTAAAAGGTCGAAGGGAAGGGCTTAGGTAGGATGGTCGAGGTTGTAGAGTTTAGCAGGTGAGGTGAGGGTCAGTCAGTCAACATTAGAAAACATGTTTGGATGTTCCTGATAGAATTTTAACAGTTGAAGCTAAATGATCTGTAATCGAAGGCTAATGAAGTTGTTTTAATTTGAAAAAACAAACTTGACTTGATTATCAAAAACAGTGGCCAATCATCTCGTTGCTTAAACTGCTTCTAATCAGTGCTCAGACCTTTGACGGCTCTCGGTTGTTATGTAGGCTGCACTACAAACTTATTAATCCCCTGAAAGCACCATGAGCCACACATTCTAGTACTTTATACTCTCTGAGTGTGCACGTAGAGCTGTGTTTCTCTGCTCATCTGATATGGTAAACATCTGGGGACACGTGCAGGAAAAATAAAAGCAGTGATTCTCAGTCTGGTTCACTGCAGTGGTCACAGCTGCAGCAGGGCACGTAGTCACAAACTGGAGTCTTTCATGTTCTAGTCTTGATTACAGATGATCTCAGAGCAGGAGGCTGAATTGATAAGAATGCTTTGTTTGTAAAGTGTTGTGGAAAATGAACTTTGACTTCAGCAACAGTTTTCGTATGCTCTGCTTCCTAAGGACCCTGTTGTTCATTTTGGTTAACGCACCAACTTCAAAAGTGCATTCAAGGTTTAGTAAGTGAGACCATCTGATGGGTCAGAGACAGTACTCAGAATCATTGACATTAGACAACGACAAAAACGCTGTTTTTGTATTTCTCAAAGAAATGGTGGGATTAATCTTAAGTTTCATTGCCCCCCAAATCTCCTCTGTTGTCTCAGGCGATCTTCAATCTTTTATTATGAAGAAAACGTTTAATCAGAGACACTTAAAATGACTTTTTTTTCTGTATCCAGCCTGATACGTGCTCACAAAAATCAGACACAATTACAATATTGGCTATAATCGACTCTTTTAAATACACACCCTCAGTACTTGGGTCAAACAGAGAAACTCACAAGAAAAACAGTAAAGTACAAATATTTAGTGAACTGAACTTTTCTGGATGTGCAGTGTTCTCCATAAATCTGACAGCAACTAAACACTAGCAAAAAGGAGAGGAGCAGCAGGTTCATCTGCATATCTTGAGTAATCAAATGCTCAATGAAGGGAAGAGCAGTCCTTGTAAAAGGCCACTCAGACCTCCTGACACGTGCCGTCCCCTCCCTTTACCCTGTTTAACTTGACCTTTACAGTGCACTACGCTAAACTGAACTAAAACTAGTTTCATTTCTCCACAGCAGTGTAGGAGCACATCATTTACATGGATTTTACAGACTCCGGTGTTTTGGAAAGTCTGTGCGTTTCTATTGTGGTCACTTCATTAGTGACCCGAGTTCAGCAGTCTAACAGCTCATGGGATGAAACTGTTGCAGAACCTGGTGGTTCTGGTCCTCAGGCTGTGGTACCCCCTGCCAGAGGTCAACAGTGGAAACAGTCCGTATTGTCTGTGTGAGCTGTCTCTGATGATTTTATTTGTTCTGGACAGTGTCTGAGACCAATGTCCTGGATAGTAACGATCTTCTCTACTGTTCTCACCACCCTCCTCAAATCCTTCCAGTCTGCAACCAGCAGCTTCCTTCCCAAACTGAGATGCAGCTGGTCACGATGCTCTCCCTGGTTCCTCAGAAGAATGTGGCGAGGACATAGGGTGGAAGGTGTGATCTCTTCAGCCTACAGAGGAAGTGCAGACACTGCTGGGCTTTCTTCATGAGGGACTCAGTGTTTCTTGACCTAGACAGCTGATTGGCTTTGTGCACCTCCAGGAACCTGATGCTCTCCACCACCTCCACCTCTGTGTTGTTTATGAGCAGTGGTGTGTGATGTTGTTCTGTTTTCATGAAGTTCGTGTTCCAAGTATGGTGGGAGTGGCTTCCATCAGGAGCTGACAGGGAGCCTGGGGGCTGAATGGTCCCGATTTATTTAAGGCTGCTGCTCCTGAAATTTCATATATATATATACAGTGTATATATATATACAGTGTATATATATATATA